TTCCACCTAGGAGTGAGTACATACGACCACACCCATCGGAGAATTCGGGATCCCGTCCGCTCTCCCATAGACAAGCCGATGAGGGCCAGATTAGTAGTTGAGTCGGTGACGATCAGCGAATACCTGGTGTTGTATGTTTTTTGACGTTCTTTTTGTTTAGTGGTGGGTCACGATGTTGCTTGGATAACAACCTCCTAAGTAGTAAAGCAGGTTGGTCAACTGGCTCAAATTTTGGCGCAGTATCGCATCCAAGACTCGGGGTTAGAATTCGATAACGGAGTTTCGGATGGGCATCATGCTCGTGCATCAGAGTGAATCGTGAACTTTCGCTGCTATGCTTCGGTGATCATGTCCATGCTCACAAAGCTTGGCCTGTGGCTGTAGTACGCGCTGCGTTTCTCAAAGAGCTTATTTTCTGCTTTGGCGGTATTGAGGACCACCGTGGGAACGATCCCAAAGAGTCTCGTCATCGTGACTGGTCCATTGTGCTAAACCATTCATCCCAGTTCAGGGGCGGTCTCTCTTGAGGTGAGCGATGAAGGTCACCAATGATGGGGAGCTTGGGGGGGTTTGAGGCCGCCTCATTATTTATGGCTTTTCTTGATACCAGAAAGAAGACCGTCACCAGTTCGACTGGCCCCAGCATGGCTGATTGAGTTGCTAGCCATGTCGTCGTCCAGACGAATCACGGGAAAGAGTTGAGCCTGGGCATGTAGAGATAGCGACAGGACGAAACGCGGATGGTGCAGACAACTTGGTTATTAATAGTGATCGCACCATTCCCTACCCAGAAAATGCAATTGAGTGGGGTCGTCAAGAGAATTGTCCCGGGGCATCTTCGACCATCGGATCAAGGAAAAATGACCTTTGAAATCTCACCTGTCGTGCCCAGTCACTTCCATACGGCATGGTGACGCACGAACAATCTATATGTATCCGTACCTTACTGACCAAAAGACAGCCGACCGGAAGGATTCACACTAGCCGGGTCCGCTGCGTCACAGATTGTATGACTAGCTAGTTGATTCGGATGAACTGCCAGGATCTACCATAAGCTCCGCTCCGGAAGCAACACCAGGCGGGCCCGAATCGTCTGGACTAGCGGCCCGTTTTGACCGGCGGGTAGCGGAAGCGGGGCCTCTAAGAGCTAGCATGATAACCTCATAGGGCAAGATAGTGCCGACAGAGACTACGACGTCACCGGCAAGGCGAGAAGCCTGAAGCCAAATGGCGTATATGCATTTCTAGACAAAGTCTGAACAATCCCGTTGTCCAGCTAGGCCAGCCATAGGGCTCAACGTCTGAAATTCCATCAAACACCGTCTTGAGCAAGGATATTCATGCCTCCGCCTCCGGTTTCTGCGCATAGACAACGAAGCTGTTATCAGTGTTGTTAGCCAGATGTCTCGTGGCTCTTCAAGCTCAAGGGAAGTATAGAGTAAATGGCAGACTCACTACTCCATGTAGGGATGGAAGGTTCTAGACTTCAGCTCACGACGGACGTCTGCGAGAAGTACTATAACCTCCTCCTTGGTCCATCCAAGTACACTGGTAAAAAGTCTCAAAGTGAAGGCTTCCAGCCCGTCCAAGATCTGCATCAGGTTGATCATGCCTAGTTCCTTGTAGTAGGGGTCTTTCGGCCAGTCCCCAACGGGAATCTTGAACTTCTGGTGGGTGATATTGACGTAGTCGCCAGTCTCTCTGACCCAGTCCTCCAACTTAGGTCCCGGGTTAGCTTCGCGGTTGATGCGTTTGCACGCATCAAAGAACAACTCCGACCACTTGCTAGTCTGGTGCTGTTCAGTGTAACTACCGTCATCTGAAGTGTATCGCAAGTTGAAGTCCTGGAATTCAACCCAGCCGCCGGGGTTCACGTTTCTAGGTTGAGACCGTCAGTGAGAAGGGTAATAAGTGAGCCCCTTGGCCTTAAACACTCACTCATATATCCTCTTCATCAACTTCGGCCAGTCTGCAAGTGACGCAGCCATATCTCTGCAAAATATGAAGTCATACTTCTTAGAGTTGACCCAGGGACTCTCAACATCATCGATCTCGAACTTCACATTCGGCGGAACCCTACGTGACCCTGGTGAGCACTAACAATATTGTAACAATATTGCACAGATCTATCAGGGTGACACTTACCAAGTTGGCTGAATAGCGCTCAGATCATTTCCCACCACCTGTTGCGTTGCTTTAGTTTTAGATAATTTCCAAAAGGCAACTCGTGTCGAGGTCTGGTTATTCGATGCTTACTTCGGCGTTTGGAAACTCCTCGCCCATGAGCATTGCCCCTAGAAGCTGTTAATTACTGTCGGTTTAAACGACTAAGTCTCAACTTACAGATTCCAGTTCCGGTGCCAATGTCAAGAATCCTGTGGATCTTGTCTTCCTCAATCGGGGTTAGAAAAAGCTTCTCTCCGGTAGCTTTGACCATCATCATATGCAAGAAGTCCAGACGGTCGGCCTCACTCTTTAGGTTGGACGTATTAGCTAATGAATTTCTCGTTGACTGAGATTTTGATCCCATCATACCTCATCATTGGGACCCCAGTACGCTAGTTCTTATTAGTCAATTGTCTAGTATAGACAACACGCCAGTGATACTCACATCCAGATCTGAAAGCATGGTAGCGACGACCGTGCTCTGTAGGGTAATCAACCACGCTTGAAGTTATTGATGCCGTATACGAGGACCTGGTTCCCTAATTAATCTCAAGTTGAATGATCTCGAGCTCAGCTACTTACCAACGGTCATCAATAGTAGACGCGCCGTCAGATCCCTGGCGATTCGGTTAGGACGAATTTAATGCAGGCTTGGCGTTTGGAAAACATACAATGCCCTCATCGTCAGCCTCAATTTGACCTGTTGCATCCTCGTCTTCACTTTGTGGTGAGCCAGGTCCTGTAGGAGAAGCAGTCTTGGACCTCAAAGGCGACGCAGTCTTTGACCTGGCGGGAGAGCCATTTTTCGTGCGACCAGGGGAGCCGGATGCCGGTGGGCTGTTTGGTGCTCCAGTCATGTCGAACGGCGGCCAGGGTTTCTGGGGTTCTGTTCCAAAACTTGCGCCAAGAGGTTCAACCTTTGAATAAATAGAGAAGTTCAGGGAACATTAATGTAGGAGAGGGAGTGGTCAATGGGAAAGATGCGTCAGACAGCCAGTATGGAGAATTTGTACTCAGTTGGCTGCTCCTCTTTACGGGCTCCCACAGCTTGTGAACCCCGTTGTTGGTGCAGCGCACTCAGATGTGCATACAGAATGCATACAAACGTTCCATTTCGTCAAGTCAACGTAGCAAACTTCTATTCTCCCGGGGTGATAGACTAATCAGCAGCTTGCTAGCAATACGGTAGCGGGGCATGTCAAGTTGTCGCATCTCATATTCGCGGAATCGAGTCCAATAAGGAGTATTCGCTCCAGTCTCCCCGGTCGTGGTGTGGATATTACAAGGGAAAAGCGAACAAGCCACATCATGCACGAATCAGCTGAGAGAACATTTCTTTCGTCCCCTCGTTGCTAAGAACCCCAAATGGAAGGTGAAGAGACAACAATCCCGAGCCTCCGGGCAGGAACAGACATAATATACATGTTTCAATTTCTGGCGGGTTACTCGGACGGACAATTTATCCAGGATGGAAGCCTTTCCCATCACACCACCATGCTTTCTTTCTGGTCACTGCGGCTAAACTAAGCTTCCTCCTCTGGTTTCTGAGCATAAACAACGTGACTGTGAGGTTTCACTATTAGCTGAATCAAGAACGAGAAATGAGAGAAAGAAACTCACAATTCCATGCGAGCATGGAAGACGCCTGTCTTCAGCTCATTTCGACAAGCTGCTAGCATCACCATGACCTCTTCCTTCGTCCAGCCAAGTACGCCAGTAAGTAGTCTCAAATTGAAAGCCTCCAAACCATCCAGGATCTGGATGAGGTTGCAGAGACCGAGATCCTTATAATGGGGATCCTTGGGCCAAGTACCAATTGGCAGTTTATACGTCTCATGGGTAATGTTGGTAAAGCCGGTCTCCCTGACCCAGTCCTTGAACAGGGGACCCGGACAGGGCTCACGTCCAATTTGCCTGCAGGTGCTGATGAATGTCTTGTTCATCTTTAGACTTTCGTGCTCGTCGGTGATGGAGCCATCATCAGAGCGGTATAGGAGATCCCAGTCTTGAAATTCGACCCAGCCTCCGGCGTTAGTATTGCTATAGTGACTTGTTAGTAGTGCAATCTGATGATGCTATGTTCGAGCACTTACTCGTAAATATTCTTGACCAACTTGGGCCAGTCAGCGATAGCACCGGCCATAGACCGGCAGAAAATGTAGTCAAATTTGGTTGTATGCAGCCAAGGGCTTTCGACATCGTCGACCTCGAATTTGACGTTTGATGGTACCCTGATTCCCGTTAGAAATCATCACATAAGGTAGAATCAGTGTTTGGCTCGTACCAAGTTGGTTGATTTGCGCTCAGGTCGTTTCCGATTATCTTTCCAACCACTCAGTCAGCTCTCGGCCTGCCGTTAAAGTACAACTCATTTCTGGGAACGAATATGCACCTCGGCGTTGGGGAACAAGTCTCCCATCTCCATAGCCCCTGTGTGTTTGTCAGTTGGTTGGAGTGGTACGGATAGAAAGAACTTGATCTACTCACAGATTCCAGTCCCAGTGCCAATGTCCAAGATGCGATGAGTTTTCTTCTGCTCAATTGGAGCTAAGTACAACTTGCCAATGGCCTTGAAGATCAAGGTCGAGAGGAAGTCAAGACGGTCCATCTCATTCTATTCAAATGTGGTTGTCAATAGGTGTTCTGTTACTCAGGATGAATATGGCAGCACCTCATCGTTTGGAGCATAGTAAGCTGTTGCTTGTTAGCTCATGAGAGCGACACAAATTGGCGACAGTATACTGACCTCCACCTCGGAAAGCGTGATAACGCCGGCCATGCTCTACAGGATAGTCAATGACACTAGAGCCTAAGGAAGCTGTGTAGGATGATCTGGCTCAGGGTGTGAGTTTCACGCCTGGAAACATCGGATAAGGTGGAACTGTACATCTGATCATCAATAGTTGAGGCTCCATCGCTGACCTGAGCCCTATGTTAACGAGGTCGGTCTTCATTCAAGTATAAGAAAATAGACTACGAACACTGAGTCCTTCGTCAACCTCAATATCATCTGCAACTTCGTCTGCAATTTGGCCTGCGGATGAGTTCTGCGCTACTGGTGAAGCAGTTTTTGATCGCGATGGGCTCCTATTTTTCGGTGACGCGGTCTTTGACTTGGCGGGAGATGCAGCCGTTGCCGCCGAGGGAGAGGCGGGCACCGGCGATTGAGCGCTTGGTGATCCGGCCATCATGGATTTCGATGGCGCATTCGTTCCGAGAGTCCGGTTCAAGTAATGCAATTCTATGAAACTCGGGGTTGATGAAGAATGACTGAAACAGTGAACACCAGTTGGAAAGACTCAGTGAAAGGTAGATTAAGCCAGATAATCAGCCACCTTTGTACTTGTTGTTGGTTTCCCTGCATCCTGCGGGCTCTCGGCTATTTGGCACCTCGATGTTGGTGCGCGAAATGTGTTCAGCCATGCAGAATACGCAAATAAACGTGCCGTTCATCAGCTTTGCCTGCATACCTCTGGGATGTTTAGCAAATGAGAGCGTTGCCAACGGTTCCAGCAGCGGGGTGTTGGCCGTTGGTTGCAGTCGGGCTTTATTCAGTCAAGACCAATTAAGACGGTTGATTCCGGTCTCCCCGGTCTTGCAGTGGATACTAAGTCCGTCTAATCCGGAGCGATGCATAAAACAACAAGCGTACCCCTCTCTATGAGTTATCGTTACTGGATTGAACCGGAAAGCTGATAGAGGGCTGCGCCAACCGAGGCAGGCCAAGCAAATCATGGCTCTGCCTCTCAATAATGCCTTGTGGCCGTGTGGCATCTCGATGTTGATTCCATGAAGATAAGTAAGTAGCCTAAGCCTTGATTCAGAACTAAGATATAGCCAGACTTCATAACAGAGCTGTTGGATTCATTGCCATACATCGGTGTTATTGGTCAAGTTCCCTTCTCTGCCACACATAGCATGAATTTATTATTCAAGACGGTATAATCGTGAACCTCACACGGGCAGAATATTTCTACATACAAAAATTCTTACTCTGGCTTCTGTCCATAGACTACATGACTATTAGTCTTGTCAGCTACATTTCATCGTACCTTATTCTTCCTAGAGCAGTACACACAATTCGCCAAAGGCGTGGAAGACTTGCGATCTCAGCTCTTGGCGAACTTCGGACAACAGTATCGAGACCTCTTCCTCTGTTTTGCCAAGAACTCCACAAAATAGCCTCAATGTGAACGCCTCGAGCCCGTCTAGAAGCTGTATCAAGTTGCCCAGGCCAATTTCTTGTTGGAACTCGTCTTTGGCCCACGGCCCGATAGGCACCCTGATTGTCTTGTGCCCGATGTTGATGAATCCTGCAGCTTGCACCCAGCCCTTCAGCTTAGATCCAGGGCATGGCTCAATACCACAGAGCCTGGCTGCTTCTAGGAAAGTATGATCCCACTGATGTGTCTTGTGGTCGGGCCTTAGGCTTCCGTTAAGTGACGAGAATTCAAAGTCGTAGTCCTGAAACTCAACCCATCCACCTGGCCGAAGATTCCTGTGCGAAAAGAAGGTCATCAGACATCCAGTATTTTGTCGTTCCCATCCAGTGTCACATACTCGTATGCTCTACTCACAAATTTTGGCCAGTCGGAGAGAGATCCAGCCATGTAGCGGCTGAAGATAAGGTCGAATTGTTCTTCATAAACCCAATCACTTTCAACATCATCAATCTCAAACCTGACATTGGATGGGACTCTTTTAATGATTAGCTATACATCAGAGACTAGAGAGGCAGTCGGGTTGCATGTCCTACAGTCTTGGTTGAACGGGACTCAAGTCGTTACCGATGATCTGCTGACTCTCAGCTTCCGACTGTATCATCAGATCCTAGTAGTACATACCAGCGCATTCGGGAAAGCGTCGCCCATCTCGATCGCCCCTAATAGTCATAAGCTTAAACACTCTGGCACGCATTGATTGGAGACTCACAGATACCTGTACCAGTGCCGATATCAAGTACTCGTTGCATCTTCTTCACGTCGATTGGGGCTAGAAAGAGGTTGTACTGGAGGAACTTCAGAACTAGCTCGTGATTGTAATCCAAACGACCTAGTTCATCCTTGCAGCAACACAACCACCTCGTCAGAACAAGTAGCTCTCTTCTAGTATTTTGATTGCTTACCTCGTCATTCGGAGCAAAGTACGCCGTATCAAGGTCAGCATGTTGCCGCAGTAGAAGACTCGATACACTCACCTCCCGCTCTAAACGCGTGGTATCGCCGCCCATGTTCTGTAGGGTAATCCACAACACTAGAGGTAACCGACTTGGTGTACGAAGACCTACGTCATTAGCTCTAACCTCGTGTGGTAACTCAAGGTCTTCATACATCCGGTCGTCAAGGGTCGAATCATTGTCCTTTTAAACATAAGCCAACTGTCTTACGTCTATAATAGGGCGAGTTATAGACAACTCACACTGTCGCCGACCTCGAGTTCAATACCTTCATCACTAGTGTCCGACGCAATGCTCATAGGGGAGGCGGCATCGGATCTATCCGAGGAACCTCCTCCGGGGGCGCTCATCTGCACTGCCGTCCCGATGTATTTATCAGCTGTTCCGAGCGACTGGATCGAGGCCAAAAAATTGGTCTACACAGTAGAAAAACTCCCGAGATAGTGGAGAGAAACACTTGCGAAGTGGCCGCGACCCGGCTTCCATGGTTTTGTATCCGACGATCAAGTCTATCTCTTACACACCGCAACCCAGGCAACATTAACTGAGCCTGTTGGTGATAGAATCATACAGCATGCAGACGGCCCAAGCTAGAATCCCTAAAACCCTACACCGGTCGTAAACCTGCAGAGTCCCGAATTTGGGAGCTAATCGGTGGCCTGCGATTTGGCGCTTCGCTTCCAACGGCTGGGCACTGTTGTCCTTGGCTGCGGTGAGACCAATCACGTCTCTGTGCGTTGATCGCCCCTGTCTCTGATCTGTACCGTGTTGGGCGCATGACACGGCCCAACATGCTTCGTGGACTGTTGGAAGAAGGAAAAGAAACTACGTGCATACTTCGGGGCTGACAGGAGGGGAAGCGAGTAGGCAGAAAAGGACCCGATGTCTTCCATCTGTGTGGACCATAGAAGTCCGCAATAGTCCTACCATATGAATGACTAGAAGATGTAAGTATTACGATCGATTGAGGGGGGAAACCGTCAGATACCTGTATCTTCTTCTTGCATCTCATATTTCGAGATGGCCAACGAATACCCCAAGATTTGAGGTACCTTCGGCGGGAACTCCGTCTCCGAAGGCGTGGAGACAAGGAACGACTTCAAACCCCGCTCCTTCTCAGCCGACTCAAGAATTGATGGGACTGCAGCTCGAGCATGTGTATGCCGAACAGTGCTGCATATACCGGAGCGAGGTCGTGTGGTCCGCAAGGCCTAGCGTCTCCGCTGGCCCTACGCTTATCCAAGAATCCATTCATGATTGTCTCGATAGCCTCTTCCACAGTCAGCCCGTCTACCCTGGCCCTGAGATCACTTTCCTCATTTTCGCGGACTTCGTGGTTGTCTCGGGTGGGTGCAGAGATATTGATCGGAAGTTCTACGTCCACAATGGCTTCCCTGACTTGCTTGGCTTGTTCTTGATTGAAGTAAGGGCCACTAATGTAGTTGGCCTCGGTCGTTGAGTCGATTCTTTGCTGCGCGTCAGGGTCTTTTGCTTCTTCCAGGAAATCGTGTATGAGAACCCTGATGTTGTGTCCGAGAATTGGGTCGGTGTTGATAAATGAGGTCGTCAGCTTGGGAGATGTCGAGAGTGACACTTGCGCCGTGGCCAGCTTCTTACTGTTTGCTTTAGGCATTTTGGACTTTGATGTCGGAAGTATCTTCATGTAGCGCAGAGCTAAGAGTCGATTTCCGGCATCTACTCACTACTTTATATAAGGTATGGCCAGAAGACGACAACAAGGTAGTTGTGGCAACGGAGATGTTGCGGAACTCTGTGTTTTTAAGCACCTCGAGTTCACCTCTATGTCTCGTTCAAAGTCTATTTGAGGGTTTGAACTGCGTTTTTACCCAAATATAGCAGGATTTGCCATATGTAGCACAATATCAGTCAATCGGTTATGATACAAGTCTGCCCATTTAATTTGCTTCATTATGGCGTCTGGATCTAAGCTTAACCAAAAGTCAAGACACTACCTACTTTGATCAATTACGTGAGCGCTCCTGACCACGGTTCTACAACGAGGGAGGTCTCATGTCAAAAGCCTGTGCGGCCCAAGCCCAAGCAACCTTGCCCTCCTCGTATCCGTACAAAGCATGCTCATAGACAGTAACCTTCCCATCCGGGCCGTTCTTCTGCAGATTCTTGTTCTGAGGCACGCCCGAGATGGACAGCCTGACGGCGATCTGCTGCTTCTTCTCATCAACCACAAACTTGTCAACCTCATACTTGAGTCCGGCAATGACAGGCAGCAGGATCTTGCCCAGGAACCCCACGGCCCCGACCGCCGGCACCAGATTCCCATGCATCGAGATCGTCTCCGCCCACAACGCCGGCAGCACCGTGGGCATGGTGCCGTCGTTGTAGCTGTAGATATACTTGCGGTACAGCGTCTCGATCTCGGCGGCCGAGATTGGATTCTGGGAGGCCTTGGCGGCGTACTCGGGCACGAACGGCGGGGCGGGCACGGGGCCTACTCCTCGGCTTTGTTGGTTCGCGACCTGGTAGAGACGGGCAATCTTGCCGTTTTCGAAGAAGACGAGGACGAGGTCCCAGACCTTGGATGGGGTCCCCTCGGAGGCATCGCTTGTGGTCGTGATGAGGCGGGCGCCGAGGGATTGAGCGGCCTCGTTGACGGTCAACTGGTCTGCGCTGAGGTGGCTGCCTTTCTCGGCGGTTGCGGTGAGGCGTTTGATGAATTGGTCTCTGCTTTCTGTGCTTTCGTTGTAGGTTGCTCTCACTACCGGCTGAAGGTGAGTGTGAACTTCATCCCACTTCTTGTTATTCACTGCGTCCACGAAGGCCTGGAAGATAAAAATGATATCTTGAGTTGCCATTTTGGAGTCGACGTGATGGTCGTATTTCTTGAGTCTCCGATGTTCTCCTTTCTCAAGATATGAGTGTGGAGGTCTGATATGATATGGTTGTCTGAGTAGCAGCTGAGATGACACTCGCCATTGTTATATATCCGTAGATGCATCAACTTCTCGTACCTCTGGCTCGTCATCGTTGCCAAGGGTAGCCAAGAGACTTCGGTCTCGCAAAGCTGACACTGAACGGGCGTTGTAGATGTGTAGGTCGGGCCGTCAGCAAGGACCGACGGGCCGCTTTTCTTTGGCCGCCATCTTAATTGGGCCAAACTTGCTCCTTGGACGGTAACAGAGCCTCATTGCAGTGTTTCTTGATTAGGAAAATGGGAGTAGTCTGTACCGGCGGGGGCGGAGGCGGGTCTCGGGATGACGCTGTCCTTTTCAGTAACTCTTTGCCGAATTTACGGGGAGGTGTTCTTCCTAAAGAAAATCTACTGCCACCTGTGATTGATTGAACTTTATTATACTTTCCCGAGATCCTAAAGTTAGCTTCAATACGCTCACTCGTAATTTCCTTTCGCCTTTATGCGTAATGTCATCCGGTTTCTACTCGTAATGTAAGGTACTGGGTTTACCACTGCTTGCAGTAGACCTCGACTCGCATCCGAACTGCAGTTTGACATGAGCTGGTATCATCATCTGACAATCTTCAACACGCATCAGTTGTCATTTCACCAGGTCTTCCAAGCAGTCCCGGAGGGTATTCAGATGGAAATGTCGGCCGGCCGCCTGTATTATTCGGGAGGTGGGTCGCCCGAGAGCGGCCCGTCAGTGGTGGATACCGGCTTCGCACCGGCACCGCCTCCACGTCCTCCTCCAGCCAGTATCCCCGACGTATTTACGATGATCTCAGCCATTGCCATTTCAAGTTGATCGGTTTCTTTGGATCTCGCTGATACCATGAAAGAAAGCAAAAAGGAAGCTTGCCTAAGTTTTAAGCTCTTGAGTATTCCGTCCGACGGCTTCCTAGATGGCTGCCTGGATTGTGCATGAAGCATCTCAGAAGATCGCCCTACGACAACGCTTATCGATTTTCTAGCTGTTCAACTGGCACAATTGCGGGCTGGTAACAGAAAACGAAGTCTTTAATCACATTTGATGAACTGTAGCAGGAAAAAGGGCGGGAATACTGTTCCCTACACGGCTATAAGGGCTGTTGCCTCAAGAAACTCTCGCCATACTCGCCGTAGACGCCTAGTAGTTGAGAACATCGTGTTTGACGTTGCCCGGTTTACCAATAGTCTGGACCAATTTTGAACAGAATTTCGTTAGAATTGGTTATGAGGTTGTGATAAGTCTGTGACACGACCAATGAGAAACACAAAACCATTTCTGATCCCGGCAGGTCTCTCTCACCGTGCGGCAATTCATCAATGCTGTTGCCTAATTCAGGCACTGCTTCCCTTGGTGCCATCGCTTGGTTTCAATTCCTTGCACAGAATGTCGTTTTCAGTCTTTGAAGTGAAGACCGATGTTTCCTCGGTGCCTGTTCATGTAGATGGTTGATGCAATACGCGATTGCCTGGAACCAAAGAATAGTGCGTTCACGTGTCCAGCATAAAACCCCACGTTGCCTCTGCGGTTTGAGAAAGAAAAAAAAACCGTCTGTGTCCTCATCAGCAGTCGATCCATCTCAATCAACTGAAAATAATCCGTCGGAAGTTAAGATCCATACCGAATTTCATACCTGCAAACAATAGCTATGGCCGCCGCCGTCGAGTCTGCCCCCTATACGGGCCCCTCTCCTCGCGAGATGATCGAAAGCCATACTCTGGCACAGGAGATCATCAACCGCAACAATGACGCCTGCCCCATCCTCGACTCTGATGAGCTGTCTCTCCTCTTCGATTTCGTCAAAGACCCATCACAGGCCCGGGCCATCCTCGAGACTCGTGGACTGGCCGACGATCCGACCAAGTCTGGTAGTCTTGTGGCCTACGTCATCTCACTACACGGCACCGACAAGGCCGCTCTCACTGACGAGGAGATTCAGATTCTCAAGAGATGGTTTGAGAATGGCCAGAAGCTTTAAGTACATGGAAAATCACCCAGGGCGGGCCTGGCCTGTCCGCGTTTTCATGTGGTACCAGTGGCGAAAGGGCTTCATCTCGACAATGCAGCCGTCACTCTGTTGGCAGAAGAAGCGAGCTCGACTGAATACTTGCACGGTGGTTGATCTAGCTTGACATGTATTCATGAAGACTTATCCCCATAGATAGCAACAGAGCTTGGGCTCAAAGCTTAAACTTTAAAGCGCTTTTTGACTACAGTGCCAGCTACAGCTTTTCTAACGAGATTATGGGCTACGTGGTGCCAACTTCTAGACGCTCTTTTCATACCAAAATCCGTGAACCTGTTCATCATTTCAGACCTTGTCTAGCGGAAACGGCACCTAGAAGTGGCAATAGAGACTGATTCGATTTGCATTAGTAACTTGCAACCCTCTGACGACTGACGAGAATGGTTCACGAATGAGAACTTGTTCTTCCGTCCTTGTTCCCTCTACTACTTCAAGATGGCAATGCAGCAAGGGCTGTTACTTCCGACTTCAACAATACACCACGATGCAGCACCGCAGTGCGAAAGAGCTTCCTACGACGGGAATGGCCCTTTCTTGCCGTACCTCAGGTGCACCTCCTCCTTTCTACTCTCCTTTATCGCTTCAAAGAAGAAAGTACAACTGCGGTAAGTATACAAGTGCCACGGGCTATGGAGAGAGAGGGGGTGGATCGACAAAGAGTAATTTCAACAGAGCAAGTACGGTCAGCCCATGACCGTCATAATCTACCGAAATTTTCGGGATCTTCTTCTCTGACACCCAATTTCCATCTACACAATTCACACACATATCGATGGCTAAACCATCAAGCCGACTTAGGTATTTTACGACGCGTGTATTGTTTGCCCTCGGATGGTACCTTATCCGCTCTATGTTCTCCCTACCCACCAGTTTTTATCATTGGCCCTCAGATACCAAGCAAGTCGGAGGTTGGCGAGGCGTTTGGAAGAAGACCCGAGCAAAGGTAGACTGCAATACCCCCTCGATGAAAGCCGGATGACAATCATTATTTCAAGGAACTCGTTCGGTCTTTCAATCGTGGCCATATCTGCGATCTCGTCGCAACCCACCCGCGCATCGACGATAGGCAATCAACACAGTTAGCTTGGGGTAGCTGTCGTATCGTCGATCACTTAGCAATAGCGCCCGGCTTGGAAATCTGCAGCTTGACGAGTAGTTATGCTGCCGAAAACCACTCAGCGTCGATGATCATGGCGAGCAGAGATCTCAGTGCCAAATACACTTATGTCTTCGACAGGCGTCAAGGACGCCTCGATCCTACATGTGGGCGATCCCAGGATGGTCCTAGACCTGTCGATCCTCGCAAAAGAACGATATCTAATTTGTTGAAATGCGATATAGGATTCATCTAGATCCTACAAGTAAGATCAAGTCGATGTTAAGTGGCTGACCTCGAATGATAGCCTCGCGGGCGCACTTGTCCGCTCCTGAATGGTGTTCAACGTCTGACTGTGCCAGGCTCGAGCTTCAGAATTCGCAATGGCATTTACGCTCTTCCTATCGCGCGCAAGTTACGGGATCAACTTCGCCTACGATGTAGATGCTACGAGCAGCTGGCAAGACGAATCTCTCGACACGGATTGCACCTTGCAGAACGGCTGGTCCAAGTACCCTTCAAACCGTCGTTCCACGCCAGGGCATGGCTGCCAAAGCAACATATCTCAGATGGACCCCAAACTCGGCATC